TATGAGAGTTGCTTCTTCAACCTCAATCAGATCTATAAATAATTTGTTGTTCCTTATAACAAATATTTATTACAAAAATATAAAGCACACATAAATATGGAAGTATATTCTACCCTAAAAAGTGTTAAAGAAGTGTAATGTGTACTGAGGTACACATTGAAACTATTGGGGAAGTAGTCAAGTTAAAGAATGACTTAATTGAGATGAAATTAAAGCATTTAGAAATATCAGTATATGTCTATGGTAGAGGGAATGTGGAGAATATTTAGTTATAAATTTATGTGGATGCTCACATACAATTGAAAGATTGGATGTTCATTTACTAAATTTATAAAATATATATTTTAATGAGGGTGAATAAGAAATTGCTCTGGAAAGAGGTTGTCATACAAAATTAACTGAGTGGTTTGAACTAAATAAAGGAGATGAATTCACAAGAGCACACATATCTAAAAATACCAGAATGGTATCTATAGTATACAAGAAATAAAATATGGTGTCGATGCCAACAGGCTTCAAAAAGTAATTAGTAAGATGTACATTGTACCACCAAAGGATGGTAAATATTTTTATATGTGTCTTTTGCTATTATATTCAAAAGTTATATAAAGCTTTGAACATTTAAAACAATGGAACAATATACAAACAATATGACACATATAGAGTTGTGGCATACGTAACAAAGCACTTCCTTGTGGCCCCTTCGTTTTCTAAGTGAGAACTAGCATATTATTTAGGGCTCATGCGCATTCTAATGGTTTCGATCAATCTCCAGGGATCTAGCCAAGAAGCAACATCAGCAGCAGCCGCGTCTTGGAGGTGGAGAACATCGGAATTTCGTCCAGATGTGTTGCAGCACCAGTGAGGGCATCTCCGCATCGTTCTGGGTGAAAAAAGAATCGTTCCTTCACACATCCAGTTGTGAGGAGTGCTGATAGCTTTCCTTACAAAATAGCTCTTGCTGTGCAGTCGCAGGTTTTTGGTACAGAATGGCTTGATTCCCGTGTGTCTGCTCGATACGATCATATTGCTTGCCGGTCATCCAACTTAACCTTTAGAATTGGCGAAGCTAGGAGCAGCTTGTGCGCAGAGTGGGGATTTTTCCAGGTACTCCTTGTAATGTTTACATCGCCTTTGTTTTGACATAAAACTTTTGTAAACTATAATATCCCAAGTGTCCGAGTCTCCGAGAAGCGGAGAAGCATGAGTTTTGCAGTAAATCCAGGGAGCTGTGAAGAGGCATTTCCTTGTGCTCGACTGGGTTGTTCTTCTCTATCACCAATTGCTCTCCATCTCCACTCGGAACTTGTCTTTTTGGCCGACCAAGCCCGAGTCTTACAGGTACTCAGCAGGTGCATGCACTTGCAATTTACAAAGAGTCTCCTTGGAAAGATTTCAGAGACGCTTGGCCTCGATGGCGGCGAGTCCGACTTCCTGGAGGAAAAGTTTGGAGAGTGCATCTACTAGACTATTCGGGTTACAAACCATTACCGTCCGTATCACTATGCTGCTCCAAGACGACTCCAGATTTTGCAGATCAGATTTACTATCATTTTTCTAAGAGTTCTTACCTCTTTCTCTTCAGATAATAACCAAGCCGTGGTGAAGAACGAACGCTTATCTTGGGCAATGTTTCAAAGCCCGTTACTCGATATGCTCGTTGCTCCTGCTGTGAATCCCGGGTTCGGGCAGTACAGGTCGAGCTTCCTCAACAAATGAGTTTTCATTTCAGGAATTTGGAAGCTGAGCAGGCACTGCATGGAAAATAGCCTCGACCCATTTCTCTACATTTTTCTCCCGAAGGTTAAGAGCTGGGGTCTCAGCTCCCCCCGGCCTTTGCACCGATGATGATAGTGTGTAACGAGAATGTTTATGCTTTTCTAGAAAGTCTCCTGGAATCTCGAGCAAGAGTATCACGATTCACATCACGCTTGTCTTCATTGGAACGCGAGTTCTTTATAATAGGGCAAGGCCTGTAGATCCAGGCTAACGAATCGATGGACTTAGGTGCGGCCTTGCTCGTCTTCGGCATCAGCTGCATCGCACTACTACTTCTCATCCGGAGAATTCGTTCGCCAAAACGGCGGCTCCCTCCAGGTCCGTTTTCCTTCCCCGTTTTTGGAGCGCTCTTCTCCCTCGAGGAGCCACTCCACCACCACTTTGCGAAGATCAGCAAGAAGTATGGGCCGATTGTCTACCTCAAGATCGGAATGGTCGTGGTGGTGAACGACAACGAAATGGCCGCAGAGGTTCTTAAGGCTCACGACCTCGAGTTTCCAAACCGACCTGACGACGAGTTCTTCCGGATCGTCAGCCACGACTGGAACAATCTCATCATGGCGCCCATAGGTGATAAGTGGAAGGCAATGAGGAGGATTTGCAGCACACAGCCGTTTAACAACACTATGCTCAAGGCAAGTGCAGGATTCCGGGAGTTGGAAATGAAGCATACAGTCAGATCCCTTTTCCAGCAATCTGGGACAGCGATCAACCTGCAAGAGGTTTTCAGTAATCTCTTGTCAAATTCAATATGCCTGGTTCTTTTTAGCGAGCGGGGACTGGAAGTGGTGGATCTCATCCGGAACATAGTCGACCTAAGCTTGAACTTGAACATTGGAACGCTGCTTCCGGCACTCGACTGGCTGGATTTTCATGGAGTCTACAAGAAACTAAACAACTTGCTCATTCCTCGCCTGAAGCTCTTGCTGGAGGATCAAATCGACAAGCACCGACGCAGGAAAGATGAAGCTGGGGACAGGTTCGTCCCTCAAGACTTCACCGATGTTCTTATATCTCTCGAGGACAAGGATAAATTGTCAGACATCTCCATTTTGGCACTGCTCTCGGTATGTTTTACCAACATCCCGTGATCTCTCATGTTTCCTTCTTGCGACAGGACATGGTTGTTGCGGGGCTGGAAACTTCACTAGTGACGCTCGAGTGGACAATGGCGGAACTCATAAACCATCCCCGAGTCATGTCCAAGGCACAAGACGAGATGGACAACGTTGTAGGGAGAGCTCGCACGGTGTAAGAGTCCGATCTTCCAAATCTTCCATACATCGAAGCCATTGTCAAGGAATCACTGCGTCTCCACCCGGCGGCCCCACTGGGACTTCCTCACGTGAATCCCAAGCCCGTCAAGCTGGGTGGCTACACCATCCCTGGTGGCTGCAAGGTTCTCGTCAACATATGGGCCATTGGGCGCAATCCTGATCGCTGGTCCGATCCCAAAGCGTTCCAGCCGGAGCGCTTTCTCAACTCGAGCGGCGCCATCTCTGCCAACGGGCAGAACTTTGACTTCCTTCCATTCTCATCGGGGAGGAGAGTTTGTGTTGGCTATCCACTCGCGATGAGATCCATTCCGTTTTTCGTGGCCAGTTTGCTCCAGGCATTCGATTGGAGTGCTGCTAACCCGGGCGGGATCGACATGGAAGAGCGCTCTAGAAGTATGACGATGAAGCTCAATGCCGAGTTGCTTGTCAATGCGTCCATGAGGCTCAAATGTCAAAATATAATATAATTGAGCTTTGAAAAAATTCCAGATTTTTCTATCATTGATTTTGGCCCTAAGCTCCAAACATACCACAGCTACACTTTCATTATTCGTGATTGCATAATCCAGGTACTGCACAAGTAAAAGAAGGAGAGGTCTTCTCTTGCGTACGTGGGCCGTTGGATTTGTGGCCATCCGACGGTGGATGGCTTCTAATTGTGATCGGTCATAATCAAGTTGTGATTGGAAGGTGTGGAAAAAAAATGTTATGTGCTAGACGTGCTAGCAAAAATGTCAAGGACAGGGCGGGAGCAATCGAAGTGCCGAATTCAACAGCATGAAATGCAGTGCCTGCATTGGATTTACAACCCATCTGGCGATCGAGAGGCCTGGATGGCAGAGACAACATACTCAACGATTTAGTCTCTGTCTCTTAAAATGGGCGTGGGATTTGGATCGAAATGCAGTGCCTGCTTTGGATTTCGGCTTTGGATCGAAATGACGGTGAGAGGCCAAGATCCAAGCACGCAATGGAGAAATCCAAAGAGCAGAGGCGCGATTTGGCAGTGGAGGGGATGATGGGCGACTCCCTCCATTTGGAAGGTGAATTCATGGTGTAGCTGCAAGCCTTTACATTTCCAGGAGAATTCCGATCCCGCTCTCTGTCGATCAACGCTACACCAAGGTCATTGTGGTGCGAAAACTGAAGCAACCACAAATTTTTGTTTTTGCCCCAGCACCGCTCTTTGCTGACAGGGAGCAAAGCTTAGACATTTGTGAGCTGGCTTTGCGCTCTACATTCAAGCTTTTTCCTAGAGCCTAAAAAACCACAGTGAACAGAGGTGTTGGATGCATGGCGGACACCTCACAAATCCGTGTATTGAAAACCTGATACGCATTGAGGTGCTGGAAGATCCTAAACGAATGGCGTTTTAAAAAACTCTTTTTGCGTCTAAGTAAATCAACTGATTCACCTGGACCAATGAAAGAAACTACTTCCCCAAAGAAAGAGAGTGTTGTAAGCCAGAGAAGAAATCTGAATACTGCGTGATGCTCATTTTAAAAAAGTCGCATATTGTACACAATATCATTTGGAAATCGAATACTATTTTCGTTCTATGGCGCTGGGTTAAGAGCAGCAAAATCTAGCCGCCGAGAACAGCAACATCAGCAGCAGCCGCGTAGGTATCCTGGAGAAGAGGGAGCAAGTTAAGTCGTGTAGCAGCGCCAGGGATCTCCGAGAGGGCAGGCACCTCCATTCTAGCGCTGTTTGCCAATGCAGGGCCAATGCATCGCCGTGGCAAGTGCGATGGTCGGTCGCAACCCTCATGGCGTGCATTGCTCTGGGCGAAGAGATCAACCGGCAAAAATCTCTGGAAATAAATGGTGGTTGTAGAGAGGGGGCGAGAGATCATGCACACCTACGTGTCATCAACATGTACTCGAAGCTTTGAGGTGAGAAGCGATGTGTTATGGACCGCAATAATGATGGGGTATCACGAGAATGGAGGTTGGAGCTTTTCTGGGCCATGCCAACCTTCTGGACGAAGAAGTGGAGGGAATGCTGTTCGCTCCAAACGCCGTGGCATGGAAAACGGTGCTGGGGACAATGACGGTGGCGTTTGAGGGATTGACAGTCGCCGGCATACATTCTCGACCAGCTGTTCTTTTCTACATGCAAACTGAAGTTTTACTATATGAATCACGAGACCGGTGGATGCCAGAGATGCTCATTTCTCTATAATATGGCGATGCCGTGTAGATTCAGACCATCGACTCGATGGGCTTTGCTGTGGCCTTGTTCCTCCTTAGCGTCGGCTGGATCACTCTATCTCTCTTCATTGAGAGAATTCGATCGTCGCGGCTCCCTCCAGGTCCATTCTCTTTGCCCATATTTGGAGCGCTCTTCTCCCTCGAGGAGCCACTCCACCACCACTTTGCGAAGATCAGCAAGAAGTATGGGCCGATTGTCTTCCTCAAGATGGGAATGGCCCCGTTCGTGGTGGTCAACGACAACCAAATGGCAGCACAGGTTCTCAAGGCCCACGACCTTGAGTTTGGAAGCCGGCCGGAAGATGGGTTCTTCCGGATCGTCAGCCACGGCGGGAACGATCTCGTCCTGGCTCCCATCGGTGATAAGTGGAAAGCAATGAGGAGGATTTGCAGCACACACCTGTTTAGCAACAGTATGGTCAAGGCAAGTGCAGGATTCCGGGAGTCAGAGATGAAGCATGCAGTCAAGGCCATTTTCCAGCAATCCGGGACAACGATCAAGCTGCAAGAGGTTCTCAGCAATCTCTTATCAAATTCGCTGTGCCTGGTTCTTTTTAGCGAGCGGGGGCTGGAAGTGGTGGATCTTGTCCGGAGCGTAGCCGCTCTAAGCTTGAACTTGAACATTGGAATCCTGTTTCCGGCACTCGACCGGCTGGATTTTCATGGAGTCTATCGGAAACTCAACACGCAGCTCATGCCTCGCCTGAAGCTCCTGCTGGAAGATCAAATCGACAAGCATCGACGCAGGAAAGATCAAGCTGGAGACGGATTCATCCCTCGAGATTTCATCGACGTTCTTATATCTCTGGAGGACAAGGATAAGTTGTCCAACATCTCCACTTTGGCACTGCTCTCGGTAAGCTTCTAGATCGTGGTCGGTATCTCTTAAAAGCTCTCTTTTATCCAGGACATGATTCTCGCGGGGCTGGAAACGTCACTAGTGACGATCGAGTGGACAATGGCGGAGCTCATTAACCATCCGCAAGTCATGTCCAAGGCTCAACAGGAGATGGACAACGTTGTAGGCAGAGCTCGCGCTGTGCAAGAGTCCGATCTTCCAAATCTTCCATACATCGAAGCCATTGTCAAGGAGTCATTACGTCTCCACCCGGCGCTCCCACTGGGATTTCCTCACTTGAATCCCAAGCCAGTCAAGTTGGGCGGCTACACCATCCCTGGCGGCTGCAAGGTTCTCGTCAACATATGGGCCATTGGACGCGATCCCGCTCGCTGGTCCGACCCAGAGGCGTTCCAGCCGGAGCGTTTTCTGGACTCCAACCCCATCCCTGCCAACGGCCAGAACCTTGATTTCCTTCCATTCTCGTCGGGGAGGAGAGTTTGTGTTGGCTATCCACTGGCCATGAGATCGATATCGTTTTTCGTGGCCAGTTTGCTCCAGGCATTCGAGTGGAGTCCTGCTAACCCAGGCGGGATCGACATGGAGGAACGCACAAGAAGTATGACGATGAAGCTCACTGCCGACTTGCTTGTAAATGCGTCTATCAGGCTCGATCAGAATATATTGATAAATAATTAAAATGACCAAATGCCTTGACCTTTTTCTCTTCATACCAGGCAACAAATATGGAGCATTCGTGTACTTCAAAATTGGGATGGTTCCATATTTGTAACTAAACAGGCAGCAAAGGTCCTTAAAGTTCCTGTATCAAACAATGCTGAAAATAGATAACAAATTGCTATGGGGGGCATTGCAAAACCTTGTAAACAGTGTATTAATGAATGAAACAAATAGTTCTTCAAGGTAGACATCCAGTGATAAATTGATGCACCAGTGGGTGATGAATTAAAGAATGAAGAAGTTTTAATTTTTAATGTTTTATTTGATTGAAATTTTATATGTTAGTCTCATGGAATCATTGACTCGTGGATGCAAGAATGCAATCACGATGCTCTTGTCTTGATGTTCACTATAACATGGCTATAACATGGCCATGGCATGTAGATCCAGACCAGCTTAGAATGAATGGATTTGGTTGTGGCCTTGTTCGTCCTAGGCATCAGCTGGGTCACAATATCACTCCTGGTTGGGAGAATTCAATCGTCGCAACGGCGGCTCCCTCCAGGTCCATTCTCTTTCCCCATTTTTGGAGCGCTGTTCTCCCTCCAGCAGCCACTCCACCACCACTTCGCAAAAATTAGCAAGAAGTATGGGCCAATTGTCTACCTCAAGATCGGAATGGTCCCATATGTGGTGGTGAATAACAACGAAATGGCAGCTCAGGTTCTTAAGGCCCACGACCTCGAGTTTGCAAGCCGGCCGGCAGAGGAGTTCTTCCGGATTGTCAGCCACAACTGGAACGATCTCATCCTAGCGCCCATCAGTGATAAGTGGAAGAGAATGAGGAAGATTTGCAGCACACACCTGTTTAGCAACAGTATGCTGAATGCAAGCTCAGGATTTCGGGAGTCAGAGATGAAGAATACAGTCAAGACCATTTTCCAGCAATCGGGGACAACAATCAACCTGCAAGAGGTTTTCGGTAAACTCTTGTCAAATTCGTTGTGCCTGGTTCTTTTTAGCGAGCTGAGGCCGGAAGTGGTGGATCTCATTCGGAACATAACCTCTCTAAGCTTGCAATTGAACATTGGAGCCCTGCTTCCAGCACTTGACGGGCTGGATCTCCATGGAGTCTACAAGAAACTCAACAAGGAGCTCATTCCTCGCCTGAAGCTCTTGCTGGAGGATCAAATCGACAAGCACCGACGAAGGAAAGATCAAGCTGGGGACAGGTTCATTCCTGGAGACTTCACCGACGTTCTTATATCTCTGAATGACAAAGATAATTTGTCCAACCTTTCCATCTTGGCACTGCTCTCGGTAAGTTTTATAAACATTTAGATCGTGGTCGTGATCACTTTTTCTTTCTTGCGACAGGACATGGTTATTGCGGGGATGCAAACTTCACTAGTGACACTTGAGTGGACAATGGCGGAGCTCATAAACCATCCGTGGGTCATGTCCAAGGCCCAAGACGAGATCGACAGCGTTGTGGGGAGAGCTCGCGTGGTGCATGAGTCTGATCTTCCAAGCCTTCCATACATCGAAGCCATTGTCAAGGAATCACTGCGTCTCCACCCTGCGGCCCCACTGGGAGTTCCTCACATGAATCCCAAGCCTGTCAAGCTGGGAGGCTACACCATCCCTGGCGGCTGCAAGGTTCTCATCAACATATGGGCCATTGGACGTGATCCCGCTCGCTGGTCCGACCCAGAAGCGTTCCAGCCGGAGCGCTTTGTCGGCTCTTCCATCTCTCCCAACGGGCAGAACTTTGATTTCCTTCCATTCTCATCGGGGAGGAGAGTTTGTGTTGGCTATCCACTCGCGATGAGATCCATCCCATTTTTCATGGCTAGTTTGCTCCAGGCATTCGATTGGAGTCCTGCTAACCCGGGCGGGATCGACATGGAAGAGCGCTCGAGAAGTATGACGATGAAGCTCAAAGCGGACTTGCTTGTCAATGCGTCCATGAGGCTTGAATGTCAAATATAATACAAAGCTGAGCATTAAAGATCTATTGGTTTTGCCCTAAACCTTTAGAGTTTTATATGGCAAATTAGCGTCATGTGAGGCGTTGGATGGCGTCAGGTTGTAACACGGCCGTGACGCTCATCCCGCCGTCCATTTCCGCGGAAGGGAAGAGATAGATCTTGCCCTCGTGGAGATCATTGGTCCCAAAGCTCGACCCCAGCGGCCGCCCAAATCCAAAGTCACACTCCATCACCGGATGCCGCGGGGAGCTCACGACGATGTGGAAGGGATAGATCCGGTATCCAGTGACGAGCCTTGCGATCTCTCGGTCCATGAATGCCGTGATCTTCTTGGCTCTCTGCTCGTCGCCCGCCGCGATTGCCCGGTGGATCAGCTCGGCGGCGTGGGAGAGCGGCTCTCGATCGAGCTCCTCGGCGGCGGCGCTCACCAAGAAGTAGATCACGGCGTTGCCGAAGTAGGATTCGGGGACGGATTCCATCTTGCCGCGGCCGCTGGCGAGGATGATGAAATTCGATGCCGATCCACAGGGCAGAGCTCTCGCAATCGTCATCCTCTTCCAGAAATTCGCGCACACGACCTCGTACGTGGTGAATCTCTTGCCGTCGCTGGCCGAGATGCCAGCCTCGATCTTGAGGCTCTCGATCGCGGCTCGATCCAGCTTGAAGATCTTGGTGCCAAGCGGTAGCGGCGGCATGGATTCGGCGCTCTCCAGCGGCAAGAATCCACCGGCGGCTCCAGCCGCGAGTAGCTCATCTCGATCCATGGCTGGAGTTTCTTCCTTGTAGCTGTAGAATGGACCAGGGATCTCTTTCGGGGAGAGGGAGCCCCGGTCGAGGCCGGATCTCGCGAGCTTGGCCCAGCAGGCAATGAATCTCCAGGCGCTGATCCCGTCCATGGCCTGGTGGCTAAACGCGACTCCAATGCTGAGGCCTCCACACTGGAATCTCGTCACCTAGGCACAGCACAGCCAAAAGATCTCGTCCTCTCTCGGCCTTGCAATCTTTTACCTGGACGAAGAGCAAGGGATCCTCGGGCTTCCAGGGATGGGCCGGCTCTGGGGATCCAATCTCACACAGGGAATCACAGAACATGGATGGCTCGAAATCCGGAGCGAGATCGCCCAGCCGCAACGATGCCTCCGCGACGCTCAGCTTCACGCCGCGATCGCTCGTGCAATCCAGCTCCAGCCCTTCGAGCGTCTCGCCGGTGGATCGCATCCCCCCCGCAAGGGGATAGAACACCACCAGCGCCTCGGCCAGGCTCCTCTTGAGGTCGCCCATCACTCGAGCGAAGAGATCATCCTCCACTCCAGGCGGCGCCGCGAAGAAGAGCACGCGCTTCTGGTATGGCACGTACCTCATGATCCTGTCGAATGCGGTGAGCTCGAATCTAGCAGGAGGGATCGCCGCCGCGGGCTGGATCATCTCGCTCGAGACGATCGAAACCATATGAAAGAACAAAGATTCTCTTTGCGAATATTCTGATTTTATGCTTTCGAGATTAACCTGTTTAAGGGCAAAAAATGCTTTTTTTTTCCAAAAAGTTCTGTAGCTCAATTGGTCAGAGCGTTGGTCTTATGAGCCGAAGGTCGCGGGTTCGACCCCCGCCAGAACTATTTCCATTCTCTTACAACCGACATGACTAATCAATCAGTGGATGTATTTATTTGTTCATCAATGTATCCCATCGTCTAGATTTTTTTGCTACTCTCTATTCTTTCTTTCTTCACGTAGAAGAATGGTTCGTGAGCGCGGGCGCGTCCGCCCTCAATCGATCACGCTCCAGTTCCACGCCGCCGCTCGATGCCGCGCCGGCCAGCTCGCGATCCAGATCGAGGGAAGCGACATCCAATGCACGATGGACATGCTGTTGAGCTGCAAGCTCTTGCTGCGGCGATACCATGACGGCGAGCAGCTCCTGGACTTGGATCTCCCGGGGGGAGCCAAGACATTCCACACCATCCAGAGGTACGTCCATGGCGATGCCATCACGCTCACGGTCGAGGCCGCCCTCGACCTCTACCTGGCGCTCCAGATCCTCGAGTGCGTCCTCCCGTTGCGCTCCCACTGCCGCGATTTCCTGCGGTCCACCGTCCTCGTCTCGTGGAAGACGATCGTGCGGGCGCTGCTTCTCATCGACTCACCCAGCGGCCGCTTGGATTGGTTCGTGGCCGAGTGCCGCTGCAAGCTCGTCGTGTTTCTCGAGAGCCTGGGCGTAGCCGAAATCGAGGACTGCCTTCGCATGAAGTTTATGAATCTCAGCCAGCCCCAGGTCCTGCGAGTGATCAAGCTCTTGCGGCAGCCAAGCGAGGGAGCTCGCAAGGCTCTCGCTCTCAACGAGAATCTCATGGAAGCTCTGGCCAGGATCTACCACCGCATTGGAACAAGGCCACGCCCAAACAAGGCGCAGCTCTTGCATCTCCTGGGCGATCTCATGCAGCATCCCCACCCCCGGCTCTACCACAGCCAAGGAGGCGAGGCTGAAAACTTCGCGGCCTTCCTCGCGGTGGCTCTCGCTCCACTGCGCGAGGCTCCCAGCGAGCTCCTGGAGAAGTACTCGTTGGTCCTGTCCAGGCTGCGGGCCTGGGAGATGGCGCGGCTGGATCCACACTGTGTTCTCGCGATGGTGGCGCCGTGGAACGAGCTGGAGAGGTCCACGGCCCAGGCGGGCAGAGTCTTCGCGGCCGTGGAAAGGTATGTTGGTTATGTCCTCGAGCAGGATGCCAGGGGCCACGGCCGGGACGAGCATTTCAAGAAGGTGGCAAGCTTCGTTGCCTTTGTTGCATCATCCAGTGTGGACGACTCTCACAGCAGCTCCGTGAGCGATCGTAAGAAAAAGCCAGCCACGGCCGCGACTCCAAAACCCTGCAAGCGCAAGCTGGACCTTGGATCATCCAGTGTGGACGACTCTCACAGCAGCTCCGTGAGTGATCGTAAGAAAAAGCCAGTCATGGCCGCCGCGACTCGAAATCCTGGCAAGCGCAAGCTCGGCCTCGAAGTTATATCGATCAGTAGCGACAGCGGCAACGATTCGGACGGTCACGCCATCTCCAGGTTCAAACCCAGACCTCGTAGAAGTCTCAGAAGGAAGTCCAAAGCACTTTGACTGTAGCAGTCCAGTTTTTTTATTTCTATGAAGGTTGTGATCTTTTGACAAGTCAGCTTGAACTCCAGCATGAATCTCTAGTCAATGTTAGTGCCCTCAAACTGTTCTTCGATCTCTCCTCTCATAATCTTTAGCATCTCCTCCGAGATCGCGAAGCTCCTCGTGAGCACCTCGTCCAAGACTGGGGGATCGGTTGCGAAGAGGCCGCGATTGACATGCAAGAGCCCCGGACGCTGGCTGTTGAACGAGACGAAGGCAGACGCCGGGTTGCGGCCCACATTGAGCTGGAAATGCACAAGCCCCCGAGGGAACACAAACAAATCTCCGCAAGTCAGGTACGTAGCATACAATTTGTAGTCCGTGTCCACGAATCCCACGTACATGAGATCGCCCTCGAAGAGGTAGAACGTCTCCGAGGCCCGGGGATGGACGTGCGGGGGATTCATCCCATACTTGGCCGCGTAGTCTGCTCGCGCCGAGGACAAGCCCATGGTGTTCACCCCTGGAAACTCCTCCACGCTCGCGCGGGTGATCCACAGTCCCAGCTCGTTGTTGGTGTTGCCGCGATTTGCGAGGCGCGAGAACTTGAAGTCGCTGGCGGTCGTGTTCTCGCTCGGCTTGCAGGGAAAGCCGTTGACTTGGATCTCCGAGTCTAGATCCGCAACGCAGTGATCCTGGAGTGGATCTGGATCGGCGGCATTGGCGAGAAGTAGCAGCAAGAGCAGCGATGCGGCGAAAAGAGAGATCATCGTCACCACGATTGTGGCGGAAGAAAGATTGCTCGAGTTCTGTGTGGAAGGCTCTTCTTTTTAAGTACGTCAAAGTAATGATTCCCTTGCAACTAAGATGATCGCGCTTGCTTGTTTCGATGCGGATGATCTCTGTGGAACGCAAAGAGCATGAAACGAAAGTTGACCATTTGCTTGTGGTTGAAAGTCAAGTCAATTGCTAGGGCGAGCGTAAGCAATGGCAATGGCGACCATGGCGCTATCCCCGTCGAGTTTCTGGGCTAGCGGGCGCTTGTCTTCTCGCAAGGCAGTCGTGCTCTCACGCCCAGTTCCAATTCACCGCAAGGTAAGCTGCTGTGCGTCTCCGGCGTCGTCATTTGAGCCGAGCAAACTGGGACTGGGAGCAAAACTCCCCGGCATTTCATCACAGGTCAGCCCTTTCTCTCGATTCTCTTGCATCCTTGCTAACATCCTCGCAGCTTGGAGCGCCTCCAGTCCCTCGCCTGGACGACCACCAGGACGTCACCGACGTGAGCTGCGATGCCACCACACTCAAGCCCTCCAAGAGCGCAAAGAGGACGCGAGCGCTCCAGGGCTGCCCTCAGAAGAGGGGCATTTGCCTGAGGGTGTCGGTGGTGACGCCCAAGAAGCCCAACTCGGCTCTCCGCAAGATTGCAAAGGTCCAGCTCTCCAACAAGAACGTCGTCAACGCCTACATCCCCGGTGAGGGCCACAATTTGCAAGAGCACTCTTGCGTGCTGGTTCGTGGTGGCAGGGTCAAGGATTTGCCCGGCGTCAAGTACCACTGCGTGAGAGGGACGCTGGATCTCACCGGGGTCGCCAACCGCAAGCAGGGAAGATCAAAGTATGGCACGAAGAAACCCAAGGACGCTCCAAAGAAGTGATACGGAAACTCGGAAATCTGCCGTTGACCCTCGCGACGGTTTTTGTGAATTATCCAGAAATGGTCTTGTAACAAATTGAAAGTCCATTTGAAAGTTGGAATTTGACCACAGAATGTGTGAATTTTAAACCCATGCAACCATCCAGTCATTGGGAGTCAAAAGCCCATTTTTTTATAACGATCGATCCGAAAGATGAGATCAGATCGCCAAATCCAGCAAAAGGGTCTCCCCGGGATTTTGTTCTTGTCGTGCAATAGCAAAGCCCAATGCAGTGCGTTATAATCTAAAGCTCACTCGCTCAATCCCTCCATCGCGTTCTCTCTTTGTTTGTTTGCCTCTGTTACACAAAGAGACGAGCAAACATTCCCACTGTTAAGTGTGTGTGAGTGCCCTTCTCCATTCTCCCGCGGCCAATGGATTTGTTCGTACTGGGGTGGCGATGCGACCGTCCGTTTGAGCTTATCCGACGGATCTGCGCGTGTTGCATGCCGCCGGCGCGTCAGCTAGACACGTGTCCGCAGAGCTACACGTCAGCCCGGCAGCTGACCGGCAAGTGCCCGGCGCCAGCCGGTGGCTCGCGCTTTATGGAATCTCCACTTGGGCATTTCCGCGGGGGAATGGGTCCTGCTCATTTCGCCACTGCCTGTGCGTTGCGTCGATTTAGGGTTTGGATCTTGTGCTCTCGATTCCTCTTCTTGCCGGTGATCGGCAGGGGGATTTCCTGGCATTCTCCACGGATCTTGGGGAGAATCGCCGCGAGTGAGCAGAGAATCGCAGGGATTGTCGATTCCGTGCTGGTTCTGGAATCTGTTGGATTCCGTGGCAGGCGCCTGGTGAAATTCTCATAGCGAGGAGCCGATCGCTCGAGATCTCAATCTATGCGCTCGTAAGTGTCTTGCAAGAAATTATCGGGGGGCGTGGGGGGAATCTCTCCTGTTCTTGCAAGATGTCGGAGATCACATTCCTCTTCCGGAGCCATCCCTTGGTCACTGGATTGCTCCTCCTCGGCCTCAGCCCAGTGTGCGTCCTCATCCTGGTGCTCTTCTCGCCGCTGCTGGTGATGTTCATGCTCTTCATGCTGGGGATCGCGGGGCTGGCCCGATCGAGGCGTCAGCTGGGGCGTCACAAGAGCCGGCGGAGGCGCTACAAGCACCGCAGCGCCGGCGATGGATTCTTCTGGGGCGACGATCCGGTAACAAGTGGGAATGAAGGGCTGGAGAGCGAGAAGCAGCAAAGGGTGAACGAGTATCTGGAAGACCAGCTCAAGAATCTCGAGGACCTCAGGCCGCTGGAAGCTCCATTTTTGGGAATCGACGACGCCTGGGTGGCTCCTCTCGATCCTTCCTCCTCTTGGGACGGATTGGACGACGACGACCACGACGGTTTCTTCCCGGACAATTGCGGCGCTCGCAGCGATGTGTCCGACCTGGGGGATGAAAACTCCGGGAGTCTAGAGGTTTGGCAGCAGCAGAGAATTGGCGGCACATAGCTTTCGGGTTCTCGTGTCGATCGAGCGCGTCGGTGGGATTTTCACTGGATCATGGTTTTGTGGGTGAGAATTTTGGCAGGACTTCTCTTACACCCCGTCTCCATCCACTTGATTTCTCAGGATCGCCGCGCCTTCAGGATCGTGTGGTGGGGATTGTGTGGACGGATTGATCAACCGCCGCGCATCGTCAATAAAAAAAAAATTGGGGATATTCCAGCCCTTAATTGTCAAAATCGTCGTGCACAGGCTTGTGTTGTCTCGTCTTTCTAACGCATCGAAATTTTCTTCGCGTGTACTTGAACCAAACCATATAATCTATATAAAAGATCTCCATCGATCCAACACAAATGTCAATAAGCTGCTTTCCCAAGGAAAGCAAAACATCGCTACCATAAACGTTTATTACGTGGAAGGAAAGAAAACAATCGCTGATACTGTAGTAAAGCACGCGCAGTTTACCAATGCTAATTTACCATTGGAGTCAATAAATCGGCACAATTACCACCCATGCCTACCAGCGATTTACTAATGCCCAGCGTTTTCTTCGCGAGATTGAATTCCAGGACGTGGTCTTGCTGCTGGAACGTTCCAATCGCCGGGGTGGAATCCTCGCCCCCATTGACAATCCCCACGCAAAACAATCCGGGCTCTCGCGTGGGCACCAAGTAATTCGCCGCCCCAATCTCCCACACGAATCCCCCGGCAAACGCGAGCCTGATCGTCGGCAGGCTCTCCATCGCCGCCGCCGAATCGATCCGGTAGCAGAGGTCGAGCGCCCCAAATCGAGCGTTGGCGCGGCTCACATTGGATTGGGCGACAAGGCGATCGCGCAGGGCTCTATAGGACGCGTCTGGTAGGGCAGTGTAGCGGCGATGCGTCCCAAAGAGGGCATCGCGATCAAGCGCTATCCTCACGCCACCCAATTCAATGCTTGCCACCCGAGCACTGTAAAAGCCTGACGATGCTCTCAGGCGCGAAAGCCCTAATTTTAAAATTTTAAATCCCCGGCCACTCGCGCCAAATCTATAGCTGGTGGCGCCAAAAAAGAGAGCGCCATAGCCGGCAGAGGGCAAGCAGTAGGAGAAGGTGAGAGGGAGGCCAGCTGCCCTCGCCAGCTGGGCGTGTAGGGCTGACTCAGCAGGGCCCAGGCCAGCGATTCGTACGGGGGCGCACGCCACCTGGATCTTGCGTAGGACGACAGGTGGACCAGTGGTGGTGGAGAGCGTGAAGCTTGTGTTTGCCAGCGTGGGCTTGGAGCAGGGATAGAGAGGGAGCGTAGCGCCGGTGTCGATCGTGAATGGCGTGGGCTTTGGATGATCGCCCTTGCGATGGATGGCGAGAATGGCGAGGAAGCTTTGATCGCCGGGCTCGCTCGTCGTTGGGAGGCGAGAGGAGGGCTGAATTGGGGCAACGAGCGCGGCATTGGCGATGATGCCATGAAAGAGCCAGAGAAAGGGGAGGATCCGGGTGATCATGGCGGAAAGGAATGGAAGATCTCCTAGGAGCAGCAGCAATGAATGTAGAAGCCTTGATGTGGTGCTTAAAAGCAATGGCAGTGTCTCCCATTCCATTCCTTGGTGTTCAAGCTTGTCTCCCATGACTTTGGAGTAAACTTCACGGATTTGATTTGAAACTTCGCGCCAACTTTTCTAGGGCTTCACAGCAGGAATATTTCTAACGAGGCTTTGTTGGGTTTTCCAAGGAAACAGATACACGACGAAAGTTTCCCTTTTGCGATTCGGCCTTTCGTCTTTTAGGTGATCCGCCACGGTAGGGGAAGAGTCTCACGGAGGAGGTTCTCTGGAGATCACTCCAACATGGGCATTTGCGCTGCCACTTTTATTTTGGTCTCATTGCTGCTGAAGCGAGCGATTCACTACGCTGACAAGAGCTTTGATCGAGGATTGATCGAAATTGGAAGTGGGTACGCAAGCGTCCGGAGAAAGTTCTCGATAAAGTAAAAGAATTATTGATTCTCCCGAGACTCAGAGCATGCTTTTGGGATTTCTTTCTCTCCTGCTAAATGTGCTGCATCCGTCCATAGCCAAAATCTGTGTCTCACGCAGCTACATCAACCATTTGCCTCCCTGCAAGATCAATGCGAATGAGGTGCAATTGCTCGGAGAGAGCCCCAAGAGCAGCTCATTGCCGCCACACTCAAGGAGGCTAGTATTCCTCAATGTAGACAAAGATCATCCACGAAGAGTTCTGGCCAGCGGGAGAAACACAGTATAGCAGTGCTTCCAAAACGTATATTACATTCAAACAATCACCATTGTCTCATTGCTAGATCCCATTCATCTCGGCTGAAGGTGTTCATGAGCTCCACATTTTCATCTTTGTGCTTGCCATTGGTCATGTCGCCTACAATTGCTTTACATTACTATTAGCCAGCCTCCAGGTCTTAAAAATGATCTAAGATTATATCAACAATATTTCATAAGAGGGCACAGGCTCTGCCTGGTAATCTTTTCCATAATTAAAATAATATTATTTATTCGTGTGCAGGTGGAAAAATAGAGCACATTTTTGAGGAAGTATACCAACTCAATTTGGAACACGTCTCATACTCTCGGCTGGATCGTAAATCAAAGCTTAAGTTCAATACTTAAAAATACTTAACCTGACCTTATGATGTTCCAGGCTTGTTTCTTTGGGCAATTTGGTAGCGTGACATTCACAGAATACAATACTCTCTGTCAAAAATAAGAAAAACTTGTTTCACACATGCACTTTCTTTCTTCTTGGTAGAATCACACATTTGACTTTCAGAAGTATGTACTTATGTTCTTGAAGACAATTTCAAAATGGTTGTGAGGGTGAATATTATGGTTGGTAATCAATTATATGATAATATTATCATTATGACAGCCATAGACAATCCAAACAGCGAGGAGCTCAATTATATGATGGTGCTCAAGCCATTGGAGTTTGGCCCACCATGCTTCTTGAGCCATTGAAGTTTGGCCAATCAAATATCAAAAACAATGGTAAACTAACACATAAACCATGTTACAAACCATTATTTCAAACTAGAATACTCACAAAACCATAAAAATTGTATTCCATTTCGCATCATCGCCAACGCAGCACTTGTCACCCTAATCCAGCACTTGTCACCCCAACCCAACCCTCTTCTTGCCTCCCAACAATAAGTGAGCCCAGAGACCAAAGCTTCCTCACCATTCTCGCCATCCATTGCAAGGGCGAAGTCCATGCCATTCATGATGGACACCGGTGCAACAATCCCCCACTAAGCCCATGCTAGCAAACACAACCACTGGTCTACTTGTCATCTTACCACAGTGACTCAGTAGGGCCTAGGGCACACGCCACCTGGATCTTGCGTACGGATATGCCGACTCAGCCCAACACGCCCCTGCTTGCCCAGTCACATCATCTGGCGAGCATTCAGAGCCCTGCATGATCACCTTGGTGGTGAGGATCGAGCCTGATATTGATGATGTCTGGCAGGGAGGAGTTGGATCAGATTGGAGATGTGGCAACCAGGCCCACGAAACTCCATTGTGAGCTGTGTCAGCGCTTGCTCTACTGGATCGATTTAGCAGCTGTGATGGGGAGCCTGCTAACAATTAGGCTCGCATTTAGCAAGGGACTTGGTGACCACACAGAGCTTAGATTGTTTTGACTGGGGATTGTCAATGGGGGTGAGGATTCCATGCTGGCAATTGGAACGTTCCAACAGCAAGACCACATTTATAGCGGCCCTCGTGCTGACATGGCTCAAAAGTTCAATGTGGAAGGGGACAGGTTGTTAGCGAGGATCAGCTGGCGTGTTCTTGAAGTATCAGGGGGATAGATTAAAGGGGAAGGGGATTTTGGAGTTAGCGTGAGGCTAGGAGATCAATACAAGGTGGGAACCGTTATAGTGTCATTGGGTTAATAAATCACTAGTATATACATGTTTTATCTAGGGTCACTAATGACCCTCTCTCCCTTGAGCTCATGCTCCCTAAATTCCTTTGAATGCAGAAACATCATTAGAGGCTGGGCAATTGTGTTGTTACAAAGGAGGAATTAAGCACGCAATAAGAGTATAGCAGCTGTAGAAGTAGGTGTCCATTTTCCACCTATGGTTGTTCACACCTACACACCACTACATGGTGGGAAGTGGTTGTAGATGTGGGAAGATTCACTATGTAGATATTGTATTTTTCATTGCCCTTTGAGTGACCGGAAATATATTTAAAATAATTTTAGGATATTTATCATTTAATGGTTGTTATTTATTTAGATTGATCTTGTATTTATAATTTATAAACTTATTTATAATTTTTTAAAAACCTTTTCTAGTATATTCTTTTTTATTCTACCATCTAATGGTTGATATGCAATAAGATTAATCTTGTGTTTATAAATTAGAAACATATTTATAGTTATAAATTTTATTTGATCAATTGGATTAATAAGTAGGAATAACACTATTATTAAGCAAACCAAACATTGTTACATGCAACATTAGACCATCATTCATAAGGTTGATTGAGTTGTCAATTGACTAGCTTTGTCTGAAGCTAGTTGAACATTGATGTATGAGATAACCCTCTTCCAAGTAGGAAGCTTGAAGGGTTAGAGCCCTATAAAACATCTCCTTGTATGTAGTTCAATTCTAGTAAATTGATATTGAAATTCCTCAAACTTGTCCCTCTAAAGTATAAAGTGCAATTATAGAGATCTTGTATTAGGAGATCTCTTAACTTCTCTTACAAGCTCTCAATTCTTCTAAATGCCCTTAAATGCCTTAGCCCTGTAGAGAGGAATATTTTAGGAACTAACATATTTTAAGTGTTCCATGTCGCAAAAGATGACTATGATGGGATTGAGTAAACTCTCCAGTGTAAAAAGAACTTATAACAAAGCTATAAAAGTCATGCTAAAATGCTACACCAAATGAGGGAAATGTGAAATGAAGAAGAAAACCAAAGAGACTAAAGGAAAAACCTAGTGGGATAAATCCTAAAGGCAAATTAAACACTTAGTGAAAGTAGAGAAAAAATAGAAAAAAAAGAGGAAAGCAAAGTTGAAAAGATAGAGAAGAAAAATAAAATAAAAAAGCAAAGAGGCAGGGAGATTAAGGATAACAAAAATTAAATTTAGATTATGGCTACATAGTCTTCAAACCTATGTGAAATTCCTTGAATAAGCTTTGAAGTTGCCTTTAAAAGTTTCAAGAGTGGATAGTGACAACAGGATGTATTACTTAGTGGTGGTAAATGCTAAAGTGAAGAAGATAATGAATGTGTGAAGGAATAAATAAAGGCAAAAGTGTGAGAAAGAATAATTATAATAATGAAAAGGTGAAAGTTAATAATGGCAATTTGAACTTGAAAGTTGTAGCTATTATAAACAATTCAAAATGTTAGTGTAGTGCATGTGATCATGGGATGAGATTTAGATATACTGTCACCATGAATCCTTGGAACCTTAGGGGATAAATGGGGATAAAATAGCCACTAAGGGCTCTTTCATTAAGCAATTTCCCCTTTTTCAGTTGGTTTAAGGGGAGAGAGATAAGATGTGTTATAGTTGGTATCGGAGCAAATGGCACAAGTTCAATTCCTATTGATTAGTGGCTACTTAAAAAAATATAATATACCCTTGAGCAAGGTATATTCCTACCCCTAAATTTAAAATCATACATATTGGGCATCCATGCATATGTCCTTCCTCTTATGTGGAGTATCCACGGATGAAGGTAGCCACCATGGGACTGCGGTACGGGTGGATGACTAGTTGCCTCATATGGAATAACTGGTAGATTCAATGCGGAAATGGAAGTGTTGGTTCCCCTTGGCTCCTCAGATTTAATGCGGAAATGGACTCCTCAGTAGGGGTTGTTAGTCAATAATCAATGAGGACATTGATATCTCTGAAGGGGGGGGGGGGTGAGTGTAGTTCCTTTTGTGTGGAGTATCCACGGACGAAAGTAGCCACCGTGGGACTGCGGTACAAGTGGATGACTAGTTGCCTCACATGGAATAGCTAGTAGATTCAATGCAGAAATGGACTCCTCAGTAGGGGTTGTTAGTCAATAATCAATGAGGACATTGATATCTCTGAAGGGGGGGGGGGGGTGAGTGTAGCGCATGTGATCATGGGATGAGATTTGGATATACTATCACCGTAGATCTTTGGAACCTTGAGGGATCAAATAAGATAAAATAGCTAAAGGCTCTCTCATCAAGTAATTGCCCCTTTTCCAGTTGGCTTAAGGGGATAGAGATAAGGTGCGCTACAGTATCCTATCCCTTTGCTCCTTGGGCTATATACTCAGGAGTTGCTCCATGAGGACATTGACATCTTTGAAGCGGGGATGAGTGTAGCATATGTGATCATGGGATGAGATTTGGATATATTATCACTATGGATCTTTGGAACTTTGGGGGATAAATAGGGATAAAATAGCCATTAAGGGCTCTTTCATCAAGCAATTGCCCTTTTTCCAGTTGGTTTAAGGGGAGAAAGATAAAGTGCGCTACAATATCA